CAAAGGAAGTTTTAAGAAAACATCCAAAAAGGCTAAGGGCAATAACAAAGTAGGCAAGGACAATACCAAATCTGATGACCCATGCTATCACTGTGGAGTGAAAGGTCATTGGAAGAGGAACTACAAGGCTTACCTCGCTAGCTTAAAGTAAAGAAGTCTTCTGAAGCTTCTACTCCAGGTATTTTTGTTATCGAGGTTAATATGTCTACTTCATTAGCTTCTTGGGTATTAGATACCAGATGTGGATCTCATATTTGTATAAATATGCAGGGACTAAAGACAAGTAGACCACTTCAGAAAAGAGAAGTTGACCTGCGCGTGGAAAATGGAGCAAGAGTTGCTGCATTAGCTATAGGGACATACTTCTTACCACTTCCTTCGGGCTTAGTATTAGAATTAGAAAATTGCTATTTTGTTCCCGTCATTACTAAAAACATTATTTCTATTTCGTGTTTAGACATGAATGGTTTTTCAATTAATGTTAAGAACAATCGTTGTTCGTTTTATAAAGATGAGATCATTTATGGTTGTGGTGTGTTGCAAAATGGAATTTATATTCTTGATACTGAGTCGTCTATTATGAGTATAGAAAATAAAAAGGCATAAAAGTGATAATCTAAATAATACATACCTCTGACATTGCAGATTGGGTCATATTAATGACAAACGCATTTCTAAGTTACATAAAGATGGATATTTGGGATCAACTGATTTTGAATCATTTGACAAATACGAGTCGTGCCTATTAGGCAAAATGACCAAGTTCCCTTTACTGGAAAAGGAGAAAGAACCACAGAACTACTGGGACTAATACATACTGATGTATGTGAACCCATGTCAATAACCGCCAGAGGGGGTTTCTCTTACTTCATCACATTCACTGATGATCATTCTAGATATGGTTATATGTATCTGATGAAATTCAAGCATGAAGCACTTGAAAAGTTCAAAGAATTCAAACTTGAAGTAGAGAAATAGACTAGTAAAAATATTCTCACGCTGAGATCAGATCGAGGTGGAGAATATTTAAAGGGAGAATTTTTAGATTATCTAAAAGAGAATGGGATTCTCTCGCAGTGGACTCCACCATATACACCGCAACATAATGGTGTATCTGAAAGGAGGAATCGCATTTTGTTAGACATGGTGCGATCTATGATGATCCATGCAAACATATCAAAATTATTTTGGGGTCATACACTAATTGCTGCGTGCTACACACTTAATCGTGTCCCATCTAAATCGGTAGACAAAACTTCATACGAGTTATGGAGAGGAAAAAGACCAAACTTATCTCATATGAAAGTTTGGGGCTGTGACGCTTATGTAAAGCAAAATGAATCAGATAAGCTTGAGGCTAAATCTGATAAATGCGTATTTGTGGGATATCCAAAAGAGACAATTGGATATCAGTTCTGTAATCCTATTGAGAAGAAGGTATTTATCTCAACATGCCATATTCCTAGAGAAAGAGTTTATTCTAGGAGAGGGTTGTGGGAGCAAACTCGAACTTGAAGAAGTTCAAGAATCCACAAATACTATTGACCAATTAGATGAACCTGAGTATGATCCTACACCTGTTGACGGACAAACTCTTGATCAGGATGTAGAGAACCCTGAGGACACTCCAACTCAGCGTAAATCAAGTAGGATCATTCGACCACCCAGAAGCTATGAATTCAGGATTACTAATCAAGTATTATTAGTCGAGGATGATGAACCTACAAATTACGCAGAAGCAAAGTCAAGTATTGACTAGAAGAGATGGCAAGAAGCCATGGAATCCGAAATGAACTTAATGTATGAGAACAAGGTTTGGACCTTGGTCGACCTTCCAGGTGGGATAAAATCGAGAGGTTGTAAATGGGTTTACAAGAGAAAGGTCAATGTGGATGGAAACGTTCATACGTACAAAGCAAGGCTAGTAGTGAAATGTTACACACAAAGACAAGGCATTGACTTTGATGAAACTTTTTTCGACTGTAGCCATGCTGAAGTCGATTCGAATTTTGTTTGCGATAGTTGCATACCATGATTATGAGATATGGCAAATGGATGTCAAAACTGCTTTCCTTAATGAAAACTTATAAGAGGAGGTGTACATGACACAACCTGAAGGTTTTGAATCCAAAGGAGCCAACAAAGTATGTAAGTTAAATCGATCCATTTATGGAATAAAGTAAGCCTTTAGGAGCTGGAATCTTCGTTTTGATGAGACAATCAAAAGGTTTGATTTTAAGTAAAATGAAGATGAACCGTGTGTTTACAAGAAGACAAGTGGGGGCGCGATCGTATTCCTAATATTATATGTCAACAACATATTATTAATGGGAAACGACATCCCAATACTTCAATCGGTAAAATTATGGTTGTCAAAGAATTTCTCTATGAAAGATATAGGAGAGGCAGCTTATATCTTATGAATCAAGATCTATAGAAATAGATCTAAAAGATTACTAGGCTTATCCCAATCATCGTACATGGATAAAATCTTAGAAGATTTAATATGGAAGAGTCTAAAAGAGGTTTAAGTCCCATGCCACATGGGATTTACCTCTCAAAAGATATGTGTCCTAAAACACATGATGAAAGGAGTCGCATGGATAAGATTCCTTATGCTTCGGCAATAGGATCTATCATGTATACGATGCTATGCACAAGACCAGATGTTTCATATGCTCTAAGTGTTACGAGCAGGTTTCAAGCAAACCCTGGTGAGAAACATAAGATAGCGGTTAAGAACATTTTTAAGTACTTGAGAAGGACTAAAGATGTATTCTTGATCTATGGAGGAAATTAACTGAAAATTCATGGATATACTGATGCCAGCTTTTGAACTGACCAAGATGATAGCAAGTCTCAATTAAGATATATGTTTGCTCTCAACAATGGAGCGGTTAGTTGGAAAAGTTCCAAACAGGAGACAATCGCTGATTCAACAACGGAAGCTGAGTACATTGCTGCTTCTGAAGCAATGAAGGAAGTTTTCTGGATCAAGAAGTTCATTAATGAACTTAGAGTCGTGCCTAGCATTATTGATCCCATACCTTTATATTGTGATAACAATGGAGCCATCTCACAAGTGAAGGAACTGAGGTCTCATCAACGATCGAAACATGTGCTAAGGCGATATCATCTCATCAGGGAGATTATACATAAAAATGACATAACGATAAAGCGAGTTCCCATAGATGACAATATTGCAGATCCATTGACAAAGCCGTTGTCACAATAGAAACGTGATCGTCATGTGGACACTTATGGTATTAGATAAATGAGTGATTGGATCTAGTGCAAGTGGGAGTTTGTAAGTGTTATGCCCTAGATCCAATCGATTTAGATTATAAACACTTTTAATATATTTAATGCATTTAATTTTGGCAAGATCTATTATTTATTTAAATTAATTTTGTGATAAATAATATTAAATAATAGAGTCAGAAGATCCAAGTTTAAGTGATTTGTTAATTACAAGAAGTTGTGATTGTGAGATACAAATTACGTATGATTGGTTCTTGATAATACGTGGTAGTAAGTAATAACGAGATATGGATATCATTATTACAGATAGACCATCACATGTGACATTTCTTACTTGTGAAGTAACTAGCTGATCTCACAAGCTAAAGTGTGGTGACACTTAAATGAATACGTGGTTGTTTTGTTATGAAACAAAACATTGGAGACCCGCTAAGAGATTCCACATGGATAACTATCTGAGTGTCAGTGGTTAATCTCTAACATTCGTTAGTGGCATTGGTCCTATGACTTGAGGTCATTATAGTGCCTTGTATGAGGACAGTCATGCTTTGACGGTGTTGGATGTTACTCTACCAAGGGCCGCTAATACGACATCGTTCGGGTATATCAAGAACCATATGAAGGTTGTGAATGAACAATAGAGGATACGTCACTATTAGATGGTAAGAGATTGTGATCTACATTTCGTTCAATTAAGTCAATAACGAAATCCTTGGCCAAAATATACACATAAGTCGAAAAGGAATTTTTGACTCATATTGACTTAATAGTAGAATGAAAGATATGATCGATAATCGAGATTGACATACTTCCATATCTCGTAATTGATTGGATCATATTGACGAAGAGATTATAGTTTTATGGTAAACAAATAGTTTTGGTTTTGTCATACCACGTGACATTTCTCGTCACATGTGTTACCCTGATACATTGCTAGATGTCAATCTGGGACGGTGAGTGTGAATTTGTGATAAATTAAAAGAGTGTTTAATTTATCAATTTTGATTAGATCAAAATAATATTTCATGTCGTTAGGTATCGTGGTTGAGAACCTAATGGGTCGCACACAAAAGAGAATTGGAAGATTGTAAATTGCCAATTAATTAATTTAACAATCGTTGGATAAATTAATTAATTTGATTGGTTATTTATATCCCCAAATTAATTAATTGAATTAATTAATTCACAAACCAGGCCGAATCCGTTTGGATTTATATAAATACTTGGCTAGGGTTTAAGATCCATATTGTTTTCATTATTCTTGTTGGTACAAGAGGAAAAATCCTAGTAGTTGCAGTCTATTCTCCGTGTGGATTTCATTGGAGGCTGGATAATTGGACAGCTGTGGGTGGTAGATTCAAGTTGCTGGAAAATGATAACGCAAAGGAGTTTGCAAAATCAAGAAAATGTATAATTCTCATCACAGTTTTTATCTAAATACAAAGATGAATCCTGGTGGGATCTTTAAAAATTTCAGTGGCCCCTAACAAATAGGGATCTTTTATACTAAGATTGGGATGCATCAACAATCCTGCGTTAATAGAAACCATGTTCACCTCTCTGTCCATTGCCATTGCCCAAGCTGTCTTCTCAACCACCGTTTTTGATAGTCCATGCCATAACTGTGCAAATTCAATTACATCAAATTCTTAACTCCATACTTAAATGAAGAATTTCAGCGATTTTATAATGGGGTTCCAAATTCCATCCTCAAATTTTTTACAGTAGGTTATGTCACTCTAGCTTCTTTCATCGACATCAGATGGGACGCTATTGTGCTGGTCTCTCCAAATAACCGCTGTTGCGGATGAAGTTAAAATTAGCTTATCTATGGTGTCTGTCCGTGCACAGGCTTCCAGCACATTGTGTGCTGCCCTTACTTCTATTTCACCTATAAATTCCTGTACCAGAAATGAAATACTACTTCAAAACAAGTCTCAACGATTCTTGATTCTTTAATATCAATACACAACACCATTTAGAATATTTCACAGAGTTGAATTTCCTAACTTTTTATCAAAGTTCATATAACACCTTTTTCAATCTCGTGTCTCGTTCTTTGAAACAAATTATATACGTTATAGCTCGAAGTGTATGAACTTGGTCGTATGAATTATCAAACTCCTATTTCTTGAATTATCAACAAACTTAATCTATACATCATCCTAGAGATCTGATCATTCAGCATAATCTTGAGACACATTGGCCGTTGATAATTCCTAAATACTTTAATGTCTTCTCATGTTAAGTTGACTATCCAAATTTTAAGATTTAGTCAATCATAGTAAATGAGTAATTACTTGCAAACTTAAGTACATAAAAAGTGATCATACTCTAAGTAAACTTGATTAATGAGGTAGATACTGTTGGAAATTTATTTAAATATGCACAGCGAAAATAAAGCGTTTTCAGTTCCCACCAGGATTCATCTTTGTATTTAGATAGGAATTGATACATTTTCTTAGATTTGCAAACTCATTTGCGTTATCTTTGTTCCAGCAACTTGGATCTGTCTCTCATAGCTGTCCAATTGTCCAGCCTTCAATGAATTCCACACAAGAACAGATTGCCGCCACCAGGGTTTTCTTCTCTTGTGTTAGCAAGAATTATGAGATTCACTACAGATTGAAATCCCTAGCCATGTATTTATATAAGCCCAAATGGGCTTGGCATGGTCCGATCCAATATTTAATTAATCTATTTACCGTGAATTTAATTAATTAATTCGGGCTCATAAATAATCAAGTCAATTAATTAATTTATCCAACAATTGTTAAATTAATTAATTGACAAATTACAGTCTTCCAATTCTCTTTTGTGTGCGACCCATCAGGTTCATAATCACGATACCTAACGACGTGAAATATTATTTTGATCTAATCAAAATTGATAAATTAAAATACTCTTTTAATTTATCACCAATTCACACTCACCGTCCCACATTGACATCTAGCAATATATCAGGGCAACACATGTGACAAGAAATGTCATGTGGTATGACAAAACCAAACTTGTTCGTTTACCATAAAACTATAATCCCTTTGTCAATATGATCTGATCAATTACGAGATATGGAAGTGTGTCAATCTCAATTATCGATCATATCTTTCAATCTACTATTAAGTCAATATGAGTCAAAAACTCCTTTCCGACTTATATGTATACATTGGCCAAGGATTTCGTTATTGACTTAATTGAACGAAATGCATGTCACAATCTCTTACTATCTAAGAGTGACGAATCCTCTATTAGTCATTCACAACCTTCATATGGTTTTTGACATACCCGAACGATACCATATTAGCGGCTCTTGGTAGAGCAACATCCAGCACCGTCAAAACATGACTGTCCTCATACAAGGCATTACGATGACCTCAAATCAAAGGACCAATTCTACTACCGAACGTTAGAGATTAACCACTGACACTCAGATAGTTATCCATGTGAAATCTCTTAGCGGGCCTCCAATGTTTCGTTCTATAACAAAACATTCACGTGTTCATTTAAGTGTCACCACACTTTAGCTTATGAGATCAGCTACTCGCTTCATAAGTAGGAAATGCCACATGTGATAGTCTATCTGTAATAACGATATCTGTATCTCGTTATTACTTACGACCACGGATTATTCAAAATCCAATCATACGTAATTTGTATGTCACAATCACAACTCCTTGTAGTTAACAAATCACTTAAACTTGAATCTTCGGACTCTATTATTTAATACTATTTATCAGAAAATTAATTTAAATAAATAATAGATCTTACCAAAATTAAATACATTAAACATATTACAAGTGTTTACAACCTAAATGGATTGGATCTAGGGCACAACACTTACAAACTTCCACTTGCACTAGATCCAATCACTCATGTATCTAATACCATAAGCGTCCACATGAAGATCATATTTCTGTTGTGACAACGGCTTTGTCAATGGATCTGCAATATTGTCATCTGTAGGAACTCGCTCTATCTTTACGTCATTTCTTTATATTATCTCCTTGATGAGATGATATCGCCTTATCACATGTTTGGATCGTTGATGAGACCTCGGTTCCTTCGCTTGTGCGATGGCTCCATTATTATCACAATACAAAAGTATGAGATCAACAATGCTAGGAACGATGCCCAATTCATTAATGAACTTCTTGATCTGATCAGCTTCCTTCGTTGCTTTAGAAGCAGCAATGTACTCAGCTTCTGTGGTTGAATCAGCGGTTGTCTCTTGTTTGGAACTTTTCCAACTAACCGCTCCATTGTTGAGAGTAAACATATATCCTGATTGAGACTTGCTATCAACTTTGTCAAACTGAAAGCTGGCATTAGTATACCCATGAATCTTTAGTTCATCTCCTCCATAGATCAAGAACAAATCTTTAGTCCTTCTCAAGTACTTAAGAATGTTCTTAACCGCTATCCAGTGTTTCTCACCAGGGTTTGCTTGAAACTTGCTTGTAACACTTAGAGCATATGAAACATCTGGTCTCGTACATAGCATTACATACATGATAAATCCTATCACCAAAGCATAAGAAATCTTATCCATACGATTCCTTTCATAATGTGTTTTAGGACACATATCTTTTGAGAGGTAAATCCCATGTGACATAGGACACAAACCTCTCTTAGACTCTTCCATATTAAATATTCTCAAGATTTTATCTATGTACGAAGATTGGGATAAGCCTAGTAATCTTTTAGATCTATCTTTATAGATCTTGATTCCCAAGATATACGCTACTTCTCCCATATCTTTCATGGAGAAATTCTTTGACAACCATAATTTTTTCGATTAAAGCATTGTGATGTCGTTTCCCATTAATAATATGTCATCGACATATAATATTAGGAATATGACCGCGCTTTCACTTGTCTTCTTGTAAACACATAGTTCATCTTCATTTTTAATAAAATCAAACCTTTTGATTGTCTCATCAAAACGAATATTCCAGCTCCTTAAGGCTTGCTTTAATCCATAAATAGATCGATTTAGCTTACATACTTTGTTGGCTTCTTTGGATTCAAAACTTTCAGGCTGTGTCATGTACACCTCCTCTTGTAAGTCTCCATCAAGCAAAGCAGTTTTGACATCCATTTGTCATATTTCATAGTCATGGTATGCAGCAATTGCAAGCAAAATCCGAATGGACTCCATCATAGCTATAGGCGAAAAAGTTTCATCAAAGTCAACTCCTTGTCTTTGTGTTTAACCTTTTGCTACTAGCCTTGCTTTGTATATATGGATGTTTCCATCCACATCGACTTTTTTCTTGTAAACCCATTTACAACCTATCGGTTTTATCCCACTTGGAAGGTTGACCAAGGTCCAAACCTTGCTCTCATACATTGAGTTCATTTCGGATTCCATGGCTTCTTGTCATCTCTTTGAGTCAATACTTGACTTTGCTTCTGCATAATTTGTAGGTTCATCATCCTTGACTAATAATACTTGATTAGTAATCGTGAATTCATAGCTTCTGGGGGGTCAAATGATCCTACTTGATTTACATTGAGCTGGAGTGTCCTCAGGGTTCTCTACATCCTGATCAAGAGTCTGTCCGTCAACAGGTGTAGTATCATACTCAGGTTCATCTAATTGGTCAACAGTATCTGTGGATTCTTGAACTTCTTCAAGTTCGAGTTTGCTCTCACTACCCTCTCCTAGAATAAACTCTTTCTCTAGGAATATGACATGTCTTGAGATAAACACCTTCTTCTCAATGGGATTATAGAACTGATCTCCAATTGTCTCTTTTGGATATCCCACAAATACGCATTTATCAGATTTAGCCTCAAGCTTATCTGATTCATTTTACTTTACATAAGTGTCACAGCCCCAAACTTTCATGTGAGATAAGTTTGGTCTTTTTCCTCTCCATAACTCGTATGGAGTTTTGTCGACCGATTTAGATGGGACACGATTAAGTGTGTAAGACGCAGCAATTAGTGCATGACCCCAAAATGATTTTGGGATGTTTGCATGGCTCATCATAGATCGCACCATGTCTAACAAAGTGTGATTCCTCAGTTAAGATACATCATTATGTTGCGATGTATATCACGGAGTCCACTACGAGAAAATCCCATTTTCTTTTAGATAATCTGAAAATTCTCCCTTTAAATATTCTCCACCTCGAGCTAATCTTAGCGTGAAAATATTTTTACCGGTTTGTTTCTCTGCTTCAAGTTTGAATTCCTTGAACTTTTCAAGTGCTTCATGCTTGAATTTCATCAGATATACATAACCATATCTAGATTGATCATCAGCAAATGTGATGAAGTAAGAGAAACCACCTCTGGTGGTGATTGACATGGGTCCACATACATCAGTATGTATTAGTCCCAGTAGTTCTGCAACTCTTTCTCCTTTTCCAGTAAAAGGGAATTTGGTGATTTTGCCTAATAGGGACGACTCGCATTTGTCAAATGATTCAAAATAAATTGACCCCAAATATCCATCTTTATGTAACTTGGAAATACGTTTGTCATAAATATGACTCAGTCTGCAATGTCAAAGATAGGTATTATTTAGATTATCACTTTTATGTTTTTTATCTTCTATACTCATAATAGATGACTCTGTATCAAGAATATAAGTTCCATTTTGTAACACACCACAACCATAAAAGATCTCATCTTTATAAAACAAACAACGATTGTTCTTAATATTAATTGAAAAATCATTCATGTCCAAACACGACATAGAAATAATGTTTTTCGTAATAGCGGGAACAAAATAGCAATTTTCTAATTTTAATACTAAGCCCGAAGACAGTAGTAAGAAGTATGTCCCTACAACTAATGCAGCAACTCTTGCTTGATTCCCCACGCGCAGGTCAACTTCTTTTTTCTGCAGTGGTCTACTTCTCTTTAGTTCCTGCATATTTATACAAATATGAGATCCACATCTAGTATCTAATACCCAAGAAGCTAATGAAGTAGACATATTAACCTCGATAACAAAAATACCTAAAGTAGAAGTTTCAGAAGACTTCTTTCCCTTCAAGCTTGCGAGATAAGCCTTGCAATCCTCTTCCAATGACATTTCACTCCACAGTGATAGCACGGGTCATCAGATCTGGTATTGTCCTTGCCTGCTTTGACTGCTTCGTTATTGTCCTTAGCTTTCTTGGACGTTTTCTTAAAACTTCCTTTAATTTTCTTCTTAGTGCCCTTGGAGGATTGAATAGCTAAGACATGCCCAGTGCTAGCCTTAACATTGAGCTCCATAGTTTTAAGCATATTAAGTAACTCGGGGAGTGTACATTCGATCTTATTCATATTGAAGTTCATAATGAATTGCAAATGACTATCTGGCAGAGATTGTAGAACCAAGTCAATGCTTAGTTCGTGATCCATGACAAAACCCAATTGAGCCAATTTCTCAATGAAACCAATCATCTTTAGCACATGAGCACTAACTAAAGATCCCTCTGGCATTCTGCACCGGTACAATTGTTTGGAGGTCTCATACATCTCCACACGAGATTGTTTATCATACAACTCCTTGAGATGAAAAATCATAGTGTAAGCATCCATATCCTCATGTTGCTTCTGCAACTCAGGTGACATAGCTGCAAGCATCACACATGCTGCAATGTCATCGTCATCACTGTGTTTATTATAAACAATCACCTCTTCCTCAGTGGAATTTTCAGTAGATACCTCTGGAAGGGGCTGCTTAAGGACATACCCAATTTTCTCATGCTTGAGAACGATTCTCAAATTGCGATGCCAATCGAGAAAATTTGGTCCGGTCAGTTTGTTGGCATCCAGTATGCCTCTCAAATTCATATGATCACTCATGATTCAAAAATTGTAAATGACGAAAGGTATAGAATCAATATGTATTATAATGCATTTGCACAAATTCAACATGGACTTTAATTAAACGTGCCCCCACTGTTTAAAATAAATTCATGACCCTCATACATAAATTATTAGAATCCACATTTGATTCCCAGTGGGCTGGGATCCCATTTGTTATATTAAGATCTTAAGTGTACTCAACAAATCTTAATAAAACATCTGGGTAGATACTATTATCAACTGTATCTCCATACAACTCCCAGATCATTAAGCTGACAACTTTTTGTCTTCATACATCTTATGTGTTAGCTTAACATACCTCTAAAACTTATCTCCTTAAGTGTATTCAACAAAAGGTAAATTTTAGTTAAGTCAAACCCATCATTCAGAAATATTAAATATTTTATAGTGTCAAACATATCCCTAATAGACCAGTTTTGAGTGTACTCAACAAGCTGAGGTCAATTTAGGATTCTCTTTTTCACTATAATGATGGAAGGCAAATAATACGACTTAATATTTTAATGAGAGATTTAACATGCAATGGTCTCATCAAGGAGTTCTGTGTGTGTATATATATATATACACATCAACTATGCGAATAAATATACAAACAATAGTATAGATGATTGTGAACTTATTCTATCTAGTTTTTCCGAGCCAAAGGAAAGACTAGTTGGTCAATTCCTAAGGGGTACAACATTGAATCAATATCAATGCACCATCTCTATGGTTTCTTCCTTTTCTCGCGCCTTCAATTAGCCCAACTGCAACATGTATCCTATATTAGTCGGCACGCAGGCCTAAATAAAATTGGACTCGCAAGCTCATGATAATAATACGACAACGGACTCACAGGTCCAAAAATAATAAAGAGCTCGCAGGCCCATAACAATAATAGACTCCCAGGTCCTAAACAATTAAGGGCTCGCAGACCCATAAAACGACGAGAATTAAATCAACTATTCAGCAAATCCACATGGTCAAGTCCATAATCATCCATAAATAAACATTCATCACATAATTGTTTTCTATGTATAATATATAATATCATATGCAATGTCTCAAAAATTTAGCAATTATAGTCGTCAAAACTTATAAAAAAATGGATCGAAAGAATTAATTAATCATATTAATTAATTAACTTAATTGGCGGGCCTATTTAATTAAAATTAAATTTTAATTAAACCCCGAATTAGAGTCCAACTCTAATTCCATAATTATTGGGCGAAGTTATTTAATTAAAATCAATTTTTAATCAAATTCCAGATTAGAGTCCAACTCTAATTCTTTAAAATTTTAGGGCGGGATAATTAAGATCAAATTTTAATTATTTACCAAATTAGAGTCCTCCAATTTCAATATATACATTGGGGAAATAATATTAAAGTCACATTATAATTAACACGAGAGAAGAGTCCAACTCTAATAAAATTGAATTAATATTTTAATTTAGGACAAAATTCCTAAATAAAACAAAAATTCAATCTGGTTAACAATTAAATATTTAAGTTAAAATCTAATTTTAACAAAATATATAAAAGTCGTCAATTTTAAATAAATTTTAATTTTGGGCCAAATTTAGGATATGGGTCAAACCCAATTAAAACATAATTCTAAAACCAATTTTAAATTACAAATTCAAAAAATCTTTTGAAATTACAAATTGACCCAAACTAAAATTAAAAGCCAAGTCCCTCAATTTCGAAAATTGCATGACAGCCCTGAATTTAAAATTTTCAAAATGACCCCAACTGAAATTGCAAGCGGGGCTTGCAATTACACTAATTGCAATAGAAGTCTCCGCCTCCAACCTTTCCCAATCTAAGAAACCGTAAAAAAATTGGTTTTTTATTTACTTTGGTGGCGATGTCGGCAATGGTGCCGCCCTTCCAAATAGCAAGACCTGCCACCATAAGGCGGGGCAAGCTCTTGCGGCCCAACCAACAGCACGAAGGTGTTGCTACCAGCAATGGCATCACAATACGTTGCTACCGTCGACGGTAGCACGCACACCGCCCCGATCACAAAAAGAAAATTTGTTTTTTTTTTTCAAAATCAAATTTTGAAAATAAAATTAAACACTGTAATTGCTAGATTCAAGAATAAACATGATTAAATCAACTTTTAATTTAATCAACATGTAAATCAACTCCTAACAAATACAAAGTTGGCTCTGATATCACTGTTAGGAATTTACTTAAACATGCACAGCGGAAATAAAACATTTTTAATTCCCACCAGGATTCATCTTTGTATTTAGATAGGAATTGTGATAAAAGTTATACATTTTCTTAGATCTACAAACTCCTTTGCGTTATCTTTGTTCCGACAACTTGGATCTATCTCCCACAACTGTTCAATTATTCAACCTCCAATGAATTCCACACAGAGAACAGATTGCAGCCACAGGGTTTTCTCCTCTTGTGCTAGCAAGAATTATGAGATTCACTACAGATTGAAAACTCTAGCCATGTATTTATATAAGTCCAAACGGGCTTGGCCTGGTCCGGTCTAATATTTAATTAAATCCAGTCCGTGAATTAATTCGGGCTCATAAATAACCAACCCAATTAATTAATTTATCAAACGATTGTTAAATTGATTAATTGACAAATTGCAATCTTCCAATTCTCTTTTGTGTGCGATCCATCAAGTTCCTGATCACGATGCCTAACGACGTGAAATATTATTTTAATCTAATCAAAATTGATAAATTAAAATATTCTTTTAATTTATCACCAATTCACACTCGCCGTCCCAGATTGACATCTAGCAATGTATTAGGACAACACATGTGACACGAAATGTCATGTGGTATGACAAAACCAAACTTGTTCGTTTACCATGAAACTATAATCCATTCGTCAATATGATCCGATGAATTACGAGATATGGAAGTGTGTCAATCTCGATTATCGATCATATCTTTCATTCTACTATTAAGTCAATATGAGTCGAAAACTCATTTTCGACTTATATGTATACCTTGGCCAAGGATATCGTTATTGACTTAATTGAACGAAATGTAGATCACAATCTCGTACTATTTAAGAGTGACTAATCCTCTATTGGTCATTCACAACCTTCATATGGTTCTTGACATACACGAACGATGCCGTATTAGCGGCCCTTGATAGAGCAACATCCAACACCGTCAAAACATGATTGTCCTCATACAAGGCACTATGATGACCTCAAGTCAAAGGACCAATCCACTACCGAATGTTAGAGATTAACCACTGGTACTCAGATAGTTATCCATGTGGAATCTCTTAGCGGGTCTCCTATATTTCGTTCTATAACAAAACATCCACGTGTTCATTTAAGTGTCACCACACTTTAAGTTGTGAGATCAGATACTTACTTCACAAATAGGAAATGTCACACGTGATAGTCTATCTGTAATAATGATATCCGTATCTCGTTATTACTTACGACCATGGATTATTCAAAATCCAATCATACGTAATTTGTATCTCACAATCACAACTCCTTGTGATTAACAAATCACTTAAACTTAAATCTTCAGACTCTATTATTTAATATTATTTATCAGAAAATTAATTTAAATAAATAATAGATATTACCAAAATTAAATACATTAAACATATTAAAAGTGTTTACAACCTAAATCGATTGGATTTAGGGCATAACACTTATAGATACTTAATCATAATTAAGTTGAAAATAAAGTAATGGAAAATTGCTTAATTATAAGTGCTAGAAAAAGGAAACTTACATCATAGGTGGGGTTATCTGAAGGAAGTTCGAAGGAGTAAAATAAGCCATAACAGCCCTTCAATGCCTCCATTATGCTGTGATAATCCAAAGGGTCCAAATCAAACACTCTCAATTTCTTGTTCTCATTTGATAATCTCTCCAAAGACTGTAACTTATCTACAATATTCCATTAATAACTTGTACTACTAAATAGCAATACAAAAGAAAAAATTGAACCCAATTTTCCGAACTTTGAAGTAAAATTTAAGCAAAAAGTTTCCTTGAAGGATGAATGATTCAAAATATATAATTCCTTAACAAAAATAAAATAAAACACATAGCTATTATGTATGGCATCATAATTCTTATCGTACCAAATAGAGAATGGATAAGAGACAATGTAGGAGGGATGAAAAAAGAAAGGAACAAACCATGGTTGTGGACGGCGTAGCCTCTTTTGTGGAGGCGGTGGACGAGGGCAGAGCTCAAACAACCCGATGCGTCCAATACACAAACAATTGGTTCAGCAATGCTGGTGTCATTTCTCCACACACAGAGTAGATGCAGTGTGTGTGTGTGTGTGTGAGAGAGAGAGAGAGAGAGTGTGTGATTGGTAATGTTGGCTGGGTATGTGGGGTGTGGTATTTATTTAAAGAGAGAAAGAGAAAGAAAGAGAGGCCCGAGGCATTGAAAGGTGTGGTTAGTAGCTGGTAAAGAAGGGATGAAATAATGTGAAATGGCCGGTTAATTCATGTCTATTTTCACTTTGGTCCTTGACTAATTTTAATTTTTAAAAAAATTGAATTTAAAGACGATTGTCCAATAACACCCCTCCATTTCTTGCACTTTCCATTTGTTTTCTTGTGCCAAAAGTCATAGTCCGGATCCAATCGTCGATTTTTATCAACAGTCAACAACTTACCGACGAGACACGGTTGCCAACAAACTTCTTCTTCTTATTTTAATTTTAATTATTAATTTTTGGTAATAGGGCAAAAGTTTCATATTCTTTATTTAATTTGAATAATTTTATATTTTCATTTTAATTTTAATTTTTTATTTTCAATTTAATTTTAATTTTAATTCTAATTTTAATTATTAATTTTTGGTGATAGGGTAAAAATTTCATATTCTTTATTTAATTTGAATAATTGTTAATTTTAATTTTAAAATGAATCTGCGTCTTGCGTATTGTAATTATGAATCAGTTCGCTTAATTTTAGGTTATTATGTTTTATTTCATTATCTCTTGTACAATGTTCTAACATTTTAAATTTTTGCATGATGGTTTATCATCTTGATGTAGAGTTGAGATGGATGACGGGCAAAGCTACGTGAAGTAGCTTTAACAGTTTCACCATTGTGATGGAGCTGCTAAATGATCAGCATGCTTATATGCTGTGCCAATCTTTTCTGTGGCTCTTTTACTAGTTGAGAGATGTGTAGTACTCGGTTCAGATTATTGATGCACTTCTATATCGATTGCTAAGTCCAGTCGACGACAATGCCCTCCACTTCGACCTCGGAGGCAAAGTCGTCAATTTCTCCATGTTCGAGTTTGCCCTGATCACTGAACTATAAATTAGGAGCGATGAAGCAGCTCGGAGAAGCAACAGACTGTACGACACATACTTTCATGGGCAGGGGACAGTGTACCGCAGCTATTCGGCACAATCAGGGGGTGTGACCAAATGTTAAACAGAATGAAGCCAGATCTGGTATATATCATCCGGAGCATCTTGTGGTGTCACCATAAGAAGATCGTGATCAACCTCTTCCATCTGGAGATCGTCGATGACATCGATGACTTCAACAACTATTAGTGGGACCGGAGATATTATGAATACACCGTACATGTCTTCACTAGATCTCACTTGAAGTCGAAGGAGACTATGTGTAAGTATGATACCTATGGATTGCCCCTGACAGTGCAGGTAAAATATTTTAACATAATCAACATTTAAATATTTTGTATTAATAATTGTATGTGTTGTAGATCTGGGCGTACGAGACTGTCTCCCTATTGGGTATCCACTTTGTGAGGCGAGGGAAAACACGTTGCCCTCAGATGCATAATTGGTGAGCATCTCGAGTGGATGGATGTCCCACTAAAAAATAATTATCGACTCTCCTCAACGGCCTCATGTGAGTATTATACATTTGTGATTTTTATTGTACATAGTTTCAAATCTCATTACATGATTGTTAATTATTTGAAATTTCAATATGTCAACTTGAAGTAATAACTCATTTAACGTTGTCGATGGAGGAGGAGACTCAGGGTCTTGTACATGAATTAGTCGTTCTGCACACCCAAAATGACTAGATGTCCGATTCGATCCATGACCAAGACTAGGTAAGTGAATTAATGATTACTATTTTGTATGAATTAGCAATTATTGATTAAGTTAAGAATTTGTACGGTTGTTTGTGCAAGACCATGATCCAATTGATCGGACATCACCTCCGTCATGGACATCACCTCCATCATGTGGGATACGAGGATGGTGAGATAGTCCATATCGTAAGTGTTTGTGAATTTATTTTTAAATTTAGATATTAATTTTTATGTAATTGGAACTGAACTAACGCATTATTGTTCATTTGCAGAGGTGACTGTGGCATTTTTGCAATGAAATCATTGAATTTTTTAGTTTAGCACATAAGGTTGATAAAATCAACCAATCCTAGATACAAAATTGGCGAAATAAGTTGGTATGTGACTTATACTACTTTAATGGTAATCCATAAATTTATTGTAATTATTCGTTTTTGTTCACAAAATATTTCTTTCAATTAAAATCACCGCAAGTGCACGGTTCTTTAACAAGTAATAAAGTAAATTTTTAGAGTTCAAATATCATCCTACAGAGATTGAGTAGTTTAATTTTACCTATCGTAGCCTTAACTGAAACGAAATTACTTAATATGAATGTTTACCTAAATAAATTCTAATTTTAGAGAGAAAACCCTAATTTGGAATGCAATCCTAATTTATGTAATTTTTATGACTGGAATGAGATTATTATGCAAGACACGATTTTTAACAACCTAGAATGAAAAACAACTGTTAAGAACACAAATTTGTAGTATTCAATGTAAATTATGTAGTAGCCGAGAAAAATAAAATGAAATTATGCAAATATTTTGGGATGATCTAGCACTACGAGCCTAACCCATTTTAGAAACGACCTATGGAAGCTCAACTCATGTAAGATTGCGAAAGCCCAAGTCATAAGTTAATTAAAAGCCCAGCAATTTAAGAGAATAAGTTTAAGTAAAATTAATTACAAAGATTTAATGAATAACTGGGTTGCCACAATGGTCATTTACATGGTATTTCCTATTGGGATCCCAAGTTCGAATCACCATGTAGATGTTTTTTATAAAACTTTCATATGAATTATTTTTATGGCTTAGAGACTCTTCAAATTCTTAGTTAAAGACTAAGTTTAATAAATTTAATGATAATACAACTCCCCCACTTAATTTTTCATTAAAAAGAAAGGTTATAGAAATGGAAGGTCACTTTTTCACTACACTCCTCTTCAAATCCAAATTTCATCTCATTTTCTCTCAAAAAATATATTTCATATCAAGTTAAGCTTAAAGAATAATAAGGGTGAGAAGAAGGAAGGCTTTCTATATGTTTTGTTCTTTTATCCAAGAAAATTCAAGGCACGTAGAGGTGCAAGTGTTCATTTGTTTTCAAATCTGATTTTTCGATAAATGTTTGAATGAAATGGTACCTTCGGGTACGGTGCTTTGGCACTACAATAGTTAGAATTCTCATTCTCTGACTCTACGTGCTATGATAATGCTATAGTAATTGGATTATGCCGGAAATCCATCTACGTGTGACGATATGAATCTATAGTTTGGAATTTCTAATTTGATAATGAACCAATGATATCTATTGAGTTTCAAAATCATGGGTTAATTCCCTTCCCACAGGTTGAATGGACTTTCCTTGGGGAGTAGATGATGGTAAAGGATGATGCAACATGTCATAGAGAAGCCGATGATTTATATCTTTAGTTGATTTCGAGATGTTTACACTCTCTTTAAATTCGATTCCTATGAATATTGTGTGGATCTATTTTACAAACATTCATTATGAATAAACTATGTTTGAAAGTAGATATGTATCATAGGAATAAATTTACAAATCACCGTATACTAAAAAAGTTAGCAACTTAAAAGTTTTGATGTCTCTTCAGAAATTTCAATTTCTGTCCCATCTTTAAAAAAAATCATAACTCTTTTGTTACTTGGTATTTTTATACGAAACCAACTGGATTGGATAGCCTAATAAGTTAGATACTGAATAAAATTGGAATCATGTCAATCAAATATTGGTAAAAGGTTATATGTCATATAAAGTAAACTGTTCTGGGTGCTGTCTCTGTTTTTCAGCTTCTACCCTTGTTTTCAAAAATTCATAACTCACTCGTTACTTGGAATTTTTGGATGAAACCAATTGAATTTGATATTCTCATGGATTATCTACTGAATAAATTTTAAATCATGTGGTTTTGACGTTGGTGGAATATTATGTGCCATTTTAAGTGAACTGCACCGGTTTACCTTTCAACCAGGTTGCTACTGAGTTTTGAAAAATATTTTAATATCCCATATGATGTCGACGGAAGCTAATTTTTGACTATGTCATATTATAAGAATTTTAATACCTTAAATTAAAATTTGATGAAGTTTCAAGGTCGATAGCTATGAAAACAAATTTATTTTGACAACTACTATTTGAGACAAAAACTGGAACAGCAACATTTCTTTTTAAGTTTTGCCAAAATTTCGCGTCAATAGTCGTTACATGCATGGAACCCATTCTAAAAAACATTTTTGAAATTGTTTTCTTTTAGAATTGGATTATTTTTTAAATAAAAATAAATAAAATCTTTAATTAAATTTTAAAATTTGATCTTTATACCTTCTACTAAAAATATATTGAACTAAGTTTACGGCTAAGGTACAATGGTTTGAGTGATGTTTCCGTCCATGCGGGTCGGGACGTTACAAATTAAGTGTACTAGGATCACAATTTCTCATGCAACGATCACCTTAAACCCTAATTTTACAATGTGACTATACGATGGAGTTGTTGACGAATCAATGTTCCTAAAGCTATCAAATACTCTCTCTCAAGATGTATTGAACCTATTTTTACATACCACCGGCCTATATCTCTATGACAAATGCATATGTAAAAATGCATGTGGTTTTGTAAGCACTTATAGATTCACGTTGGGCATAGCGGTATATTTCTATCCCCTATCAAACCCTATGATGATTTATATATTGTTGAACATATTCTACTTCTC